GTTGCGTGTGCCCGGCCAGTCGGTTGGCAGTATGGGTAGGCCAGCGGCCTCCCTGGCAGGGCGGGGACTCCGGGCCTTGCCGCTGTCTGCGTGAGGTGTTGACGAGAGCGGGAGACTGCTCGGCTCCAACAGACTGAACTCTGTCTTTACTGTCTTTCAGATGGCAGCAGTGACAATGGGCTTTGGAGATCCTCTCTCACCTTTGCAATCGGTCAATAGACATGCTCACTTCTTCCGGGGCTCATGTCCTTAGTCAGGGCTAGAGGGGGGCAGTGCAGCCACGGGCTGGGGACCTTGCTCCCCGAGCCGGCCCTGCCCGCCAGCTCTGGACGAGCGCAGCAGAGCGCCAGGCGTGGCGGGGCCAGTGGTGTGGGCACCACCCGGGACCGCCCTGGGGAGGCCTCCACCTGCTCTGAGGGCCCGCCTTAAACTAACCGGCCAGGTAACCGGAGGGCAGCCGCGGCAGCCGGCCAGGGAGGGTAGCTGCCAGTGCCAGGCCCGTCGGCGCCCACGCCGCCTGCATTCAGCACACGCCGGGCCTCCAGTGCCGTCAGTCTCCAGGCTGCCTGGGCGCTTGGGCTGGGGTCAGGCCCTGAGGAGACCCCATCAGACTCTGGAGGGAGGATGGATGGGGGTGGGGGCTGCGGGGCCCAGGTGAGAGAGAGGGAAGGACCAGGATGTGGGCCTCGAGCCTGGCTATCAGCAAAGGCAGTGGCCGTGCAGCCAGAGAGGAGGCTGTGGCCATGGTTCTGGCAGGCAGGGGAGTCTGGGGAAGACACCCCTCCTGCGCGGCACAGGCTGCGGCCAAGCCCCTCCTCTGGGAGCTTGAGGGGGAGACATGCCCTTGCTTGGGGCTTCACAGGGGTCCTCCCCAGGCATGCTGGAAAGTGTCTGTTTGAAATGGAGCCCTGGAGCCCCTGACCTTCGGGGGCCAGGGCTGTGGGGAGATAAGGTTGGGGAGAGTGCCGCTGCACCCTGTGGCCAGGCAGCCCCTCGCGAAGAAGAGACTGGCCTTGTCTTGGGGGGCTTGGTCTGGGTGGTTCTGCTCTCTGCCTGGGGAGCCTGCTGTGAGTAGGGTCGTGGCTCCGCCTCTGGGACCTTGGGGCCTGAGGCCTATTTGTTGGGGAGCCTAGGAGAGGAGGGGACAGTCCCATTTCGGGGAGATCCTTGAAGGTTGGAGGAGACTAGAGCCCACCCAGGCATCCTGTCGGGTGTGGACCTATATCTGGGCCCACCTTGGGGTGGGGGGTCTCACCCTGCTGTGGGCCAGCCAAATGAGGCGGAACTGGTCTCCAGCCCTAAGGACCTTAGTGAGGGCCAGAGGGGCAGGGCTCTGGCTTTTCTCCAGGTCTGGGCCCGTGGCCCTCACCTCCCCGCTGTGGGACCCTAAAACCCCTTGTCTGGCATTGTCCCCCGGGGAGTCCCTCGGCACAGTGGCCAGCCAGGGTCCTGGGCCTGCCAACCTAAGGAGCCCTGGGGCTTCGCTTGGACTTTCTGCTCCCTTATGTGTTCAGGGGGACTTCACCCCAGGCTGTGGGCTTGCCTGGGCAGTTCTCCAGGCTGCAGGCAGGAGCTCCAAGCAGCTCTTTCCCGTGGGGGCTCCAGGGGACTAGGAGGGTGCAGAGTGCCCAGGCCTGCCTGGCCAGCCCACACGAGGCGCTGCTGCTGGCTCTTGGCAGAGCCTGCTGGGCTCCCTTCTGGGCATTGCTGCCCTGGGCTGGTGGGAGAGTCTCCCAGCCCAGCCAGGACATCTGGCCCCAGACCGGAGGGCTGGGCTGGTGGGAGGGCACACAGCCCTGCCCTGTCCACCTGGCGGCCTTGCTGTGCAGTCTATCCCGGCCCCAGGTAGACTGGGGTATGTCTGACTCCTGCTGTTGGGCCTGATCTGCCTTTCTGGGGGCCCTGACTGCAGGGACTGGGCCTGCACCTTGCTGCTGCGTGGGGAGCCCTCCCCACGGCAGGGCTGGGTGGGTGGCCAGGAGGGGAGCGGGCCGCCTGTCCCTGCACTCCTGATGAGCTGGTGGCTCTCTCCCCTCTCCTGCTGCAGATGGCAGCTCAGCGGCAGCGGGCACTGGCCATCATGTGCCGGGTCTACGTCGGCTCTATTTACTATGAGCTGGGGGAGGACACCATCCGCCAGGCCTTCGCCCCCTTCGGCCCCATCAAGAGCATCGACATGTCCTGGGACTCTGTCACCATGAAGCACAAGGTGAGCAGTCCTGACCGTGCCATGCCGTCCCTCCCCCACCCCTCCCCAGCAGGGCTCCCCAGCCTGACGGGCACCCTCCTGTGTTAGGGTTTCGCCTTCGTGGAGTATGAGGTCCCAGAAGCCGCGCAGCTGGCCCTGGAACAGATGAACTCAGTGATGCTGGGGGGCCGGAACATCAAGGTGAGGCACAGCTGGGGCGCACCACAGCCCTTGGGAGCCCAAGTGACGGGCCCAGGCCCTGGGCGACTCTTCACCCCTGTCTGTCCTCCCCAGGTGGGCAGGCCCAGCAACATTGGGCAGGCCCAGCCCATCATAGACCAGCTGGCCGAGGAAGCTCGGGCTTTCAACCGCATCTACGTGGCCTCTGTGCACCAGGACTTGTCGGACGACGACATCAAGAGTGTGTTTGAGGCCTTCGGCAAAATCAAGTCTTGCACTCTGGCTCGGGACCCCACGACGGGCAAGCACAAAGGCTATGGCTTCATTGGTGAGCACCGGAGTTCGAGGCAGCGGCGGGTCTGCTTGGTGCTGGGGCTGGCCCTCCTCACTGCTGCCCTGTCCCACAGAGTACGAGAAGGCCCAGTCGTCCCAGGATGCCGTGTCCTCCATGAACCTCTTCGACCTGGGTGGCCAGTACTTGAGGGTGGGAAAGGCTGTCACACCCCCCATGCCCCTGCTTACACCTGCCACGCCTGGAGGGCTCCCCCCTGCTGCTGCTGTCGCGCCCCCAGCCACAGCCAAGATCACAGCTCAGGTGAGAACCCATGTGGCAGTGCGGGGGCGAGAGCAGATGTGCCGCGTCCTTTGGGTGAGGACTGAGCACAGTGGCCTTTTGGATTGTAGGAAGCAGTGGCTGGAGCAGCGGTGCTGGGTACTCTGGCCACACCTGGACTGGTGTCTCCGGCACTGACCCTGGCCCAGCCCCTAGGGGCTTTGCCCCAGGCTGTCATGGCTGCCCAGGCCCCTGGGGACATCACAGGTGAGCCAGCTTGTCCAGACCCTATCTGCTTCCACTGCCCTCCAAGAGCAATCCTGCAAGCCCAGGGCAGACATCTATAGCCCAATGGCTCTGCAGCCTCCCCGGGAAGGGCCTGTGGTTGGCAGGGAGTGATCGCTGGTCCTGGTCGGTGTTGCTGCAGGTGTAACTCCCGCCCGCCCTCCCATTCCGGTCACCATTCCCTCTGTGGGAGTGGTGAACCCCATCCTGGCCAGCCCTCCCACCCTGGGTCTCCTGGAGCCCAAGAAAGAGAAGGAGGAGGAGGAGCTGTTTCCCGAGTCCGAGCGGCCGGAGATGCTGAGCGAGCAGGAGCACATGAGCATCTCGGGAAGCAGCGCGCGCCACATGGTCATGCAGAAGCTGCTGCGCAAGCAGGAGGTGGGCCCCGCCTCCGGAGGGCAGGGGCGGGGGAGGCCGGCCAGAGGTGGGCAGTGCCCTGCGCCGGCGTGGAGGCTCAGCTGCCCCCTCTCACAGTCCACAGTGATGGTCCTCCGCAACATGGTGGACCCCAAGGACATCGACGACGACCTGGAGGGGGAGGTGACGGAGGAGTGTGGCAAGTTTGGTGCCGTCAACCGCGTCATCATCTACCAAGAGAAACAAGGCGAGGAGGAGGACGCTGAGATCATCGTCAAGATCTTCGTGGAGTTCTCCGTCGCCTCAGAAACTCACAAGGCCATCCAGGCCCTGAACGGGCGCTGGTTCGCCGGCCGCAAGGTGGTCGCGGAAGTGTACGATCAGGAGCGTTTCGACAACAGTGACCTCTCTGCCTAGCCCCACCGGGCTCTGGACTTGTACTCGCTCCCGCCCCTCGGGTCTCGCAGCCCGAGCGGTGTTCCCGGGCCTGCCGGCTCTGCGGCCGCCCTGCCTGTAGTGTGGATAAAGGTGCACGTGCTGCCGCCCCGAACCTGCTGCGTCTGACGTTGGTCCCGGGGCCCAGCGGTGTGCAGGGGGGAGGTGTGTGTGCGTCTCTGTCCGTCTGTCCCAGATGCCAGGGCGAGGCGGCGGGACAGGGGGGCGGGGCCGGCCCGGCCGGGCGGTCAGCTTCAGTGTTGGGGTGGACGGGCTCCCGCGGGGCCCCTGGTGCTGGGCGGTGAGGCAGAGGCGGGCCCTGTGGTCCGGTACTCCCCGTGGACTTCAGTTCCCAGAGGTCTGTGTGGCCGGGGTGGAGCCAGGTTTCCCAGCAGGCTGTGCGCAGCCTACGGATCCTCGCTAGCGCCTGCGCCGCAGGGCCTTCTGGGAGCTGCAGTCGGCAGCGAGGGCGGGACTCGGCTTCCCGGCGGGCAGCGCGGCGGCCGGCGGTCGGCGGCGGGGCAGTCC